ATTAAGGTAATTCAAGTAAAATTCGTTAAATTCAAAAAATAATACATTCAAAAATTAAAAATGTGATATTGATTTAATAAAGAATACAATTTTTTCGGATTATTGAGCAGCTCATCATCGATTAATATTGATAGAAAATAATTAATAATACACGAATGCATAATTCTTAACAAATTCAATATGACGCGAACAAGCCCTATGCTGACAAGCTTTATCACACAGCTGATTGTGACTGATACTTATTGATAATTACCATAGCGTTGCGACGGAAACCTCTAACCGGATTGCTCTCGGTATTACGACACAAACAAGATTCTCCTTAACCAGTTCGTCAGAGCATTAACAGATAATCTCGCTATGCTGGAGAGCTCGATGACATTGATCAATTAAATGGTACGATGTCGCGTCCACGTCGTATCTCGTTAACGTCGCGTTTGTGCAAACGCAAGTTTGCATGTCAACCAATACGACAGTAGTTCGAAATGACAACCGACTCGCTGATAGGATTGAATTTAAAATCGCGACTGGTCTGACCGTGAGAGATGTCGATGTGAGATTTTAACTCGATTTGTCTCAAATATTCAAGTGAGATTTTTTACTATTCTGTGCATCGCGCTTTCGTTCGATGGCGCTTTCACTGATAACGTTGATAATTTCTCCATGTATTCAATGTACACTGGCACTAATTTTTCTAAAATTTACATCGCATTTATTAGCGTAAATGAGAATTTTATTAAAATAATATTGTAAAGTAATCTTTGTGTTATAAACTATATAATTACATAAATTTTTTTATATAGTATTTATAATATATAAAACACAAAAACATTATTTTCCGCAAACAATTTCTAAAAGATCTTTTTATACTCATTCTACGCTAGCATTGCAGACGAAAAACTCTATTAAATCAACAATATCCCTCCGTAAAAAAGGCATGTTAAGTCGATTCTCGAAAGTCTCGAAGTGTATTGTTGTCGCTTTTCCGCGATGCTGATTGGTTTTGTCATTGCGCTTACTTCGTTAGCGGCTGTCATTGCATATTTTGACAGTTATTTTGTGTATATATCGTTAAAAATGTTTAATGAAAAAGAATTAATAGCGCGCGCGAAGCGCGCGTTGTGTTGTGCTAGTATGTACATATAATGAATGTGTCTTCACGATTTGAATATCGTGGTAGGATTATGCGCAGCGATTACAAGTGGGATTAATTCGTACACATCAGAACAAAATTATGCGCGCGCGGCTAGCATGATAACACTTAATTAAGTGCTTCTCCTCGCGCGCCCGCGTTTCGAATTTCTCACGTTAATACTCACGAAGACAATAATATTACTGGCGGCAGCCAACAATGCCGCACAGCTGATCACGTAGGCGGAGGGTAGATACGTTCGAATGCGAAGATATTGACTGCGTTCGCAATATGCGTAGCACGAGAGACAACGTAGGTGCCTTAGGTTTCCTGCCCCCCCCACCCTTTCTCTATCATCCCTTGTGTGTCGAACCGCATCTCCGACATCTCGTCCTCGACCACCCTTTTTCCGTGCCCTTTCGACCCACCCGTTATCGCAACCTCGGAATATGATGCTTTAGCGTACTACGCCCACGTTGTTCCGTGACACGACCTTGATATAGCTGGGCTAAAAGAAGATGAGTGTATGAAGAGATCATCCCTCAGAAGAGAAAAGATGTTTTCCCGCAGTCGCACTGAGAAACCGAAATGAGAAGCGCGCGATGGATGGATTAGTTAGTTATATTGATTTTTCCCGTATCTTTCTATTGAACGTCGAAAGTAAATGTTTAGAACGGCATTTAGGATGGATTTTTGTCACTTTCGATGATAGCGATATAATCCCATTTCGATTCTCTCGATAACAAATATCAAATAGATTCTTAAATAGATATTAAAAGATAATAAATACTAAAAATTTTGCAGATTAACCTGAATTTTTTGAAGTTACATTTTTCATTCAGATATCAATCTATATATGATTATACTTTTAAAAAATGTTTACATTAAACATATGTCTTTATAACCATTTTAATATTCTTTAAAATTTTTTTGTTTTTTTAAATTTTTGAATCTCCTCCAAGATTTACATAGTTTCCTCCAGTGTTTTCCGCAAAATTCAACTTACTTCGCTCATTGCTATGCATTAATTGTAATTATATTGCTTATCATATTTCTACTCTAAATGATTGTTTGTGATATGAATTGTGTACTGATATAATGAAATAAATATATCTTATATATATGATATATACAGAGTGTCTCAGAGATCAGGTCAATAAAACTTCATGATCTTATAGAAATTGAATTTGCAACAAAAAAGTTCCTATAAACATAGGTCCGGAAATGCTTCATTAAAAAATTTACTTAAAAAAGGGGTAATACAAAGGTTACATTAATGAGACCATTCAGAAAGACAACAATTTTATTAAAAGTAAAAGAAAAATAATTTTTAATCAAATTATCAAATATGTTCAAAATGATGTCCCTGTTCATTAATGCATTTTTGGCATCTACGCAATATTGACTTTTTTTTATTAGCTATAACTTTTTAACGAACCGTTTCCGGACCTATGTTTATCAGAACTTTTTTTTTCCAAATTCAATTTCCTATAAAATCCTGTTGGCCATAACGCAGGGCAGAAAGTGAAAAGATAGACGTCGCCCGCAATATTTCAAGTCGAAAAAACTCGTATAATATGTAAAATATTTACATTATATCATATATCATTGAATTTGTTTCAAATAGCGCTACAATTTTTATCATATCGAAATATTTACATTATTATAAAAAAATTATGCATATCTCTCCGTTCGTTAACACATAATTTATGGAAGCAACCACTATGTTCACAATAGAATTCAATTTGAACTATTTAATTTGATATATATTTGTTGTGGTCTATCTTTTTTAGTTTAAAAGATAGAAGAGGGTGGTCACTTTTGGTGGGACACCCTGTATATATAATATATCTTATATAAATAATAATTTGTCAAATTGAACGGCGATGCTTAATATAACTCATATTTCTGACAATCTTTTTTTAAATTTATTTACCCATGATTGTATCCTTAATTTTATAGAAGATTCTTATGCAAAAATCATAAATATTGAATGGTATAAACTTGTTTTTACGATGTGAACGTGAGGAACAAGCGGAATAGTGTCCCGGAATGGCCTGCCGCGCGTGAAGCTGGAAAAATCGACCTGGCAATCCTTTTTTCCTTGCTTGCACCGCAGGGGGCAGTCAAACTATGTTACACGCAATTATTAACAAATCTCTCCATTTTTATCGCTTTTATCCCTTCCGCCCTCCTCGCCATACATCATTATACCGCGTCATTTCCCTTTTGCTCGTTAAAACTTCGATAGTAAATTACGTTGCTCTATCCGCGCAAATAGCGCGAGAAGAGTGAACTTTTTCAACCTGTTCTACGCGCTTTTCCCAGCATAAACGCAATCATTGTTCTGTAGAAAGCGACGATCGCGCGATCTTTTTTCCGCAAAAAGTTCCAGCGTTATTAATTTCTATCGATTCCAATAAACTCGGTTTCCGCCGGAAATGGAAAACTAATTCGTAAATTCGTTTGCAATATTCTCGAACTATAAATAAATTTCGTATTTCTATTCACAATATTGTACAAATATTCTAATTATATTAAGTTTTAAATAATATAATTAATATAAATACAAATAATGAATCTCTCTTTAGTCATTTATTTCGATTTTCGAAAGATCTCTTAATTCTTTTGTTTTTTCGAAAATTAACACTCCAAAGAAGATAGAAATGATCAATTTCCTAAGTACTTTAATCGCATTAAACAAGACAAGTTTGGTGGATGTAAACTTTATATAACAAAATCCGCACGATGTATAAGATCGGGTACAAAAGTGAAACGGATCTCCCCTCGTCATCTATAATTCCCAGAGCTTTCGCGGGAACATTACGTGAACATTCTCGTCCTCCTAATGGACGTAGGATCTGCGGTAACCGGCAATAACGCGGGTGTCTGTCGAATTCGCGCGGCTAATGGCGTGAAGGTTTATCCAGATGTTACAAAATCCTTAGAGCTCGACATTGGCTTGATCATGTCGGATTGTGTTTTCGTGAAAGTGCGCTTAATCGCAAGATGCGATTGAGACCCGACACTGTGGAGTCCTTCTGTCAGCTTAAGTGGATTTAGGGGGAAGTAAATGTGTTCAGTTTTAGCAAATATATATAAAATGACTAAAGATTCGCAACTTTTTTTACTGAATTTTTTTAATCCTTAAAATTGGTGTAAGAGAATGATGCATTTACCAGAGTGATACTTTATACATGCAATATTTTAAACTGAGCTATAATAATTATATATGCAAATTTTAAGAACAATTCCCGTTTATATCTTGTGTGTATGTGCGTGCGCACGTATGCGATGTTATCATATAAATTAGAATAAAGAACTATTTATTAAAATTATTAAGTAATATTATATAACTCTTGTATTTCAACCCGGGTCTTTTCTGAAATTTACTGTTTGTTACATTCTTACTTATTATTAAAAAGAATAGAAACGTCTCGACAATTGGATAATTCACATAATTAAATTATAAATCTTCACGCGGGCGTGCGGTAGACCTCACTAACAATATAACATTGTTATCTCAACAATCGGCGCAACTGTCGCTCACGTTTATAGCAAGGGAGCGTGAGTGTTAATTATTTTCCTAGACTTGATGTTGCGGAATATGTATTGTATAAATTCTCTGTAAAGAGAGGAGAGAGAAGGGGAGGGGAACATTAGGGTAAACAGAGTCCGGATTAAATGTCGCCCTGCAAAACATGACTATGTCCCCTTGGAGGAGAGATCGGTGCGTGCGACGTGCGCAGCTATGTGTTCTCAGCTCGGTGACGTAAATCCTACCCACGGAGACGAGAGACATCCGCGGAAATTGCGACGGTGGTGCATCACACTACACATTCTCAGCCCACGTTATATCCTTTTGTTACAGCGCGCGGATTTGGCATGAGAGTGGTGGGCGGCAAGACCGGATCGGACGGGCGCAGCTTCGCGTGCATCGTATGGACCGTGTCAGGTGGTCCCGCCGAAAAGGCCGGCTTACAACAAGGCGACAAGGTACGTGCGTACATGTTGATATTTTATTCGCATAAATTCTATATATGTAGACTGTTATAATATAATTATCATATATATTTACATCTAGATTCTAAGAATAATCCTGAAAGAGTTGCCTACACAGTTGAAAAATTGGTTTCTTGTTAAAAAATATGCTGATTAAAATTTTTCTATTAAATATTTAACACATTTATGTGTTAATTTAACATATTGCTGTCGTATTAATTGAACTCAAATGTTTAATTACTAAAACAACTAAAAAAAAGTGTAAAAATAACATGTGCACATATTTTTAATTTTACACGATAGATACGTTCCGTATTATTAGTGACAGGATTTATCTATTAAAATTTACAGAAAAAATATTAACTTTATTGTAGAATAAAAATGAGAGTGACTACAGATCGTCAATAAGTGTTTTTCTAAGTTAATTTTATCATCAAAATATATTGATTTTACACTAAATTTATTTTAAATTACTATAAAGTTTGCATTCATTTTGTGTTGAAACATTAACATAGTATTAATGTCACCATAGTATTTAATATATCTATTTTATGTTAAATTAACACACATATTTGTGTGGATCGTTTGGACATGCGATATGTTAAATTTAAGCTAAATTTTCCAACTGTGTATTGCATCTAGATTCTCTATTGTCTCCCTCAGATTTAAACAAGTCATTTGTTATCATCTGTTTATTCTCCAATATATTTTTAATGCATTAAATATTTTAGAATAGCGCGTTTCATTTAGTATTCAAGTGCTTAAAGTATTATTTTTCATATTATGATATTGCGTGCTATTATTTATAAAACAATGTGTAGTAAGAAATTTAAATATATTAATTAGTTGTATACTCAAGGGCAGGAATGGTGTCCCTCGGCGGTTAGGCGGTATATACGTATATGACAACCGAAAGCGTCACGCATACACACGGATCGCGTATATATATGTATCATCTGAAGCACGAAGAAGATCAAGCAGAGAAGGAAAAAAAGTGGGAGGCATTCGGATGTTGCATCCTTATCGTAAGTCATATGATCGAGACAGAAAGCAATGCAAGACGTGATGCTAATTAATGGTGTCCTATATCTGTTTCACTTACTCCAATTGAATGCAGGGAGTGCGAGTGAGACAGTTATAGGACACCGCACTAGCTGGACACCGCTTTTGGCTGTCATACACGTATACATCTAGCCGCCTAGGGACACCATTTCTGCCCTTGAGTGTACACACAAATATATAAAATTATCCATTTTTATTACCTTTATTTAAAACATTAAACTCTTTTATTTTAATCGATCAAATATTTGTTCGACAACATACAAGATTACGATAAATTACTGACGTTACTACGTTCAATTCCATATAGAATTACGCGATACATTTTGCATTTTTAAAGTGCGATAATTTCGTACGTATCGCTCCCGATGTTTTTAAAATTTAATGATTTTGTCCATTTTTTTAGACGGATTTATGAAATGAGAGAAAACTCTACCGCGCGTCCAGCCAATGTCCAGCCAATCGTCGTATATGCAGAATAACACTCAAATAACATAAATAACATAAATATTTGATATACTTCGAAAGCAAATACAGTATGGCGACAAAAATATTTTCCTGTCACACGTTCATCGTTTTACTTGTCGGACATTGTTATAAATGATAAATGCATGTAAATATTGACAGTTTCTGACGCATCGATTTTAATTAAATTTAAAGTTGAAGTACTGACAGTCAAGCGAAAAGAGCCGTTCCATTCGCTTACATATTCGTATTAACGTTAAAATTGATAAATTTTATTTAACGCCATACAAGCTGCATGCAACAATAAAAGCTCATTATGCATTAATTGGGGCAATCAGTTTTATAATAAAAGTACTCTATATCCATATTTACAGTCTGGGTTATTAATATATTTATATCCATCGCGATGCACAACGCAAACTTTGGGACAAATGAATTAAAATTAGCTACTTATTAAGCATAAAACGAATATAAAGCGTGAAGAAAGAGAGAACATCGATTTAATGTTTTTACACGTCATATTTACACAATGCAAACTCGAAGCAAGACTTACATTCTTGGACTTATGTTTAAATGGTTTTAACAGCACGATACTCAGTCATTCAAACAATTTGCGCAAAAAGTACAGTCCCTTGAATTCTCTATCTTTTCCCTCGAGTGTCATTGCGCACAAAGGGATACGATGTAGATAGGTAGGCGCCGGTGATCGATCGATCGAGGAGGCGAGGAGAGACGTTCTCTCGCTCCTGTTTGCCGTCATTACATTTCCATAAAGAGCCCCCGACGACGATTGCTATCATCGGTAAGCCTTTCTCTCGCGCTCGGCGACAAGGTCTAATAAGGAACGTGCAAGTATCGCACAATGGTCCGTATTCTCGTTACGCGCGCATTATCCCTCTTAAGATATAAATATAAAAGAAGCGCGTTTGCCCCTCCTCACCTCCCATCTTTCATTTTTCTCATCTGTGACTGAATATCGAGTCGGGATTAAGAGAGAATTGCATGTCCTGAATTTCGCGAAACATGAAAACGGGATATGGCAAACATCCTGACAAGCGTGACGTACTTATTGCTCGCGCGTAACGAAAATTCATGACGCGGCGCGGCGTTTGCGTGCAAATCGAGCTTTGTTTAATCCTCTTACGTACCGTCGCTTGTAAAATCGGAATGGGCAACAAACTCAACATCTATTCCGATCGATCTATTTATTACTGTCCAACTTTAGACTAGATTTCCGTTAGAATTGACTTTCGTTAATTTGGTATCTCCACTACAAGAAATCAAATTCAAATGTATAGTATATTAAGTGCTAATTTATTAATCAAATCGCGAATTTATTGCTCCTTTCAATTAAGAAGAAATTGATATTAAAGATGCAAATGTTGATTTAGCATTATGCTACGTTTTTCATTTTCAAATAACACTCATAACGAATTAAACAAAATAAAAAACAAATATACCAGAATTAATTGCTAAATAATTGCTCAAAGATAGTGCAAAGATAGATTTGAAACTTTATTTAATATTTATACACGCATACCAACATGCAATACTAAAATCATATAACAGTGAAATAGTCAAGAGTAAAATATTAATAATATCAAATTAATATCAAATTGTTTCCCAAATTAATTGCTACTAAAATATTCTAAATATTTATTGTTCGCAAAATAAGTTTAAAAAATAATAGAAAAGGTCCACACTGCTATAAAAATAAACTACGTTAATGTAATTAAGAGCTCCTTCAATTTTGATTTTAATTATATTTTCCAAATTTCGCGAGAGAGAGAGAGAGAGAGAGAGAGAGAGAGAGAGAGAGAAATATATCAATGTCGATTTTATTATTTATTGTTTAATTTAGGAAATCGAGCTGAAGTGACGGTGCTAGTATGCCGTACAAAAATATTTTAAAAATTTATTTTAAAATTAAGATCTTTTGATTTTAATATATTAATTTTTTCTTTTAAATTATTTACTAATAAAACCTAGAATATATATATATATATATGGTGGATGCGACAGAATTTCCCAGCCTAGTTCTGCACTTTTTTGACGAGTCCCCAAAGCAGCATGTGGGCCTGGCATTATCATGATGCAGTATGATGTTCTTCCTATTGTACATCGCCGGCCTCTTTTCTTGGACTGCTGTATTTAAATTATCCAGTTGCTGACAATACTTCTCCGAATAATGGCAATTACATTATTTAATAAAGTTTATTGACGGTAATAAAAATTTGTATTTTGTTTTATTCCAAAAACGGACAGAACTTTCCGGTAGACCTAATATATTAAATTAAATGGTTCAAACTGAACTTTATTGTGAGCATAGTGATTGCTTCCAAAAGCTATCTTTATTAACGAACGGAGAGGTATGCATAATTTTTTTTTAATAATGTAAATATTTCGACATGATAAAAGTTGTAGCGCTGTTTGAAACGAATACAACAATGTATGATATAATGTAAATATTTTACATATTATACGAGTTTTTTCGACTTGAAATATCGCGGGCGACGTGTATCTTTTCACTTTCTGCTCTGCGTTATGGCCAACTTCTGACTCGTGCATTAGAGATTGACACATAGTATATCTAGACCGAGTGTTGAAGAGTGGGGGCCAAGGTGCACGTAGAAAAGGACATACTCTGTTCCGTGCCCCTTGCGTTCTCTCTCACTCGCATGTAGCATAGCGAAAGAGTACGCTATGTGCGAGCGAGAGAGAACGTAAGAGTAACAGAGTATGTCCTTTTCTACGTGCATCTTTACCCCCACTCCTTAAATAAAGGCAAACGCTCGGTCTAGATATACTATGTCTATGGATTGACATATGTCATGTTGTCAGTTGATCATAATACTCAATCCGAAGTTGGCCATATTGCAGGGCCGAAAATGAAAAGATAGACGTTGCCTGCGATATTTCAAGGCTATAAAATTCGTATCATATGTAAAATATTTACATTATATCATACATCGTTGTATTTTAAACAACGCTACAACTTTTTTCATGTCAAAATATTTACATTATTATAAAAAAATAATGCATATCTCTCCGTTCGTTAACACAGATAGCTTTTAGAAGCAATCACTATGCTCACAATAGAGCAGTTTGAATCATTTAATTTAATATATGTATATTTGTTACGATCTATCTATTTTAGTTTAAAAGATAAAAGGGTATGGTCACTTTTGGTATTTGTTACGATCTATCTCTTTTAGTTTAAAAGATAAAAGGGTATGGTCACTTTTGGTGGGCCACTCTGTATATATATATATATATATGTGTGTATATTTCACATCACATATTATATAATAATATGAAATCACCCTTGTGGAAACAAGCGAGAAATTAGTTTTACACATAACAAATAATAAATTAACAAAATTATAAATTGCAAATGTTACAGTTGCTCAATACCACCCTAAAATCTGCTCCTCCCTTTTGTCTTTCGCTGTTTCTGGCATTCACACACA